TGGCACTCAACCTCAGCCGCGTCGACTTCCTGCTGGGTGAGTCCCTGCACCCACGGGTGCCCTGGCATCAGCTGGGTGCTTTAGGGGGACCCTGTCCTGGGGTGCTGGGGCAGCTGCAGTGGCCAGTTCTCCTCCAAGGGATTGGGGAGCCCTGTCCTTGGCATGCTGGTAGCCCCCCAAGATGGTTCTGTTCCCTTGGGGATGCTGGTACCCGCCCTCACACTGATCCTGTTGCCTCCCTGGGGATGTTGGTACCCCAGAGGGATGCTGTTACACCCCCAAGATTGGTGCTCTTGCTGCTCCCAGGGGTGCTGGTACCTCCCAAAGAGGTTGCAATTTCCCTGGAGATGCTGGTGCACTCCCTGGAGATGCTGGTGCACCCCCTGGAGATGCTGGTGTGCCCTCAAGGATGTGCTGCCCACCCAAGGACATTGTTACACCCCCAAGGATGCTGCTACTCCAACCCTGGGACACATCTCCCTCCTAGGGATGCAGTTCTTTTGTCAGCAGTGAAATTCCCATCCCAACTGGAATGTGGAATCCAGCAGGGCAGGAGGAAGGAAGGGTTGGGATTGTCCGGCTTCTATCTAATCTTCCTGGATCCAGTGGTGTGTGAAACACTTGAATCAGCAGGAGGAGCAGGATTTGCCCCCCCCCTTTTTTTCTTTTGGTGGGAAAGGATGTCCCCAGCAGTGTCCCTGTCCCCAGGCCTCTTCGAGCCAGGGGACATGATGTACGAGCTGGACAGGAACAACAATACAGATCCGTCCCTCAGCGAGATGGTGTCCGTGGCCATCAGGATGCTCCAGAAAAATCCCCGAGGGTTCTTCCTCCTGGTGGAAGGTGGGGGGTTCATGGGGGTGCAAAAATGGGGCATGAAAAGAGGCAAGGAGGGGTGCAAAAAGGGGGGGATTCAAAAAAAGAAGGGTGCAAATGTAGAATAAAGGGGGTGGTGGGGATACAAAAAGGAGGAAATAAAGGGGGTGATGTGGTGTAAAAGAAGGTGCACAAAGGTGGGGAATTGGATAAGGGGGAGGTACAAAAAGTGAGGACTGGGAGGTGGAAAAGGATGATAAAGGCGGTGATAGAAGAACAAAAAATGGGGATTAAATGTGATGGTGCAAAAAGGGAGGATAATGGGGAGATCGGAGTGCAAAAAAAGGGGATGACAAGGAGGAAGGATAAAGGGGTCGTGGGGAATACAGAAATGACAGATAAAGGGGATATGGGGGGATGCAAAAAGAGGAGTAACAGGGGCAGAGAAGGTGCAAAAAGGGAGGGATAAAAGAGGTGGAGTGCTAAAACGGAAAAAGGGTAGGGGGATGAAAAGGAGGAGCAAAGGGGCTGATGGGGGTTCAGGAGGGAGGATGTGGGATGTGACAAGGGGTAAAAATGGGATGGGGGCGCAGAAAGGGAAGAAAGGGGGTTCGAGGCGGGGAGGAGGAGCGCAATGCCGAGGGGTGCCGGGCTCCTCAGGCGGCCGCATCGACCACGGGCACCACGAGGGGAAGGCAAAGCAGGCGCTGCACGAGGCGGTGGAGCTGGACAGGGCCATCGGGCTGGCCACGCGCCTCACGTCCACCCAGGACACGCTCAGCGTCGTCACCGCCGACCACTCGCACGTCTTCACCTTCGGCGGCTACACCCCCCGTGGGAACCCCATCTTTGGTGAGCCCTGCGCGGGGACAGCTGGGGACACCCTGGGGACAGCTGGGGACACCCTGGGGACAGCTGGGGGACAGCTCGGGGACAGCTCGGGGACACCACAGGGACAGCTGGGGGACACCCTGGGGACAGCTGGGGACACCCTGGGTACAGCTGGGGGACAGCTGGGGGACACCCTGGGGACAGCTGGGGGACACCACAGGGACAGCTGGGGACACCCTGTGGACAGCTGGGGACACCCTGGGGACAGCTCGGGGACACCCTGGGGACAGCTCGGGGACACCACGGGGACAGCTCGGGGACACCCTGGGGACAGCTGGGGACACCACGGGGACACCCTGGGGACACCACGGGGACACCCTGGGGACAGCTCAGGGACACCACGGGGACAGCTGGGGGACACCCTGGGGACAGCTCAGGGACACCACGGGGACAGCTGGGGGACACCCTGGGGACAGCTGGGGGACACCCTGGGGACAGCTGGGGGACACCCTGGGGACACCCTGGGGACACCCTGGGGACAGCTGGGGGACAGCTCGGGGACAGCTGGGGGACACCCTGGGGACAGCTCGGGGACACCCTGGGGACAGCTCAGGGACACCATGGGGACAGCCCAGAGACAGCCTGGGGACAACTCGGGGACACCCTGGGGACAGCTGGGGGACACCCTGGGGGGATCCCATCTGCTGACTGCCACACCACCAGGTCTAGCCCCGATGCAGAGTGACGTGGACCGCAAACCCTTCACATCCATCCTCTACGGCAACGGCCCCGGCTACAAAATCGTGGCGGGCGAGCGAGAAAACGTCTCCGCCGTGGATTTTGGTGAGGAAGTTTTGGGCCAAAACCCCTTCAAATCACCCCAGCTTGGCTAAAAGGAGCTGCACTCTTAGACGATTCTCACTTGTGCCGTTTGCCCCCAGCTCACGCCGACTACCAGGCGCAGTCGGCCGTGCCGCTGCGGCAGGAGACCCACGGCGGCGAGGACGTGGCCGTGTTCGCCCGCGGGCCCATGGCCCACCTGCTGCACGGCGTCCACGAGCAGAACTACATCCCCCACGCCATGGCTTACGCCGCCTGCATCGGCTCCAACCGAGGCCACTGCAACGCCGCCGCCCGCCCGGCCACCCCCCTGCTCCTGCCCTTCCTCGGCCTCCTCCTCCTCCTGCTCCTCTGCTAAAGTGCCTCTTGCAAATCACTGAGGGGGATTTATTTTTAATTCATCCCCCCTTTTTATTTTTCTGTGGACAGCAGCGCCCGGGAAAGAGGAGAGAGAGAACAGAGAGACTCAGCGGAGCAAAAGCAGCCGCCGGTGGTTTGGTGCTGGGAGCTGCCTCTGTAAATACATGGTTCCTTCCCTATAATTAGCAGCGTTCCCTGGCCTATCCCAAAGCCACCGCGGGATTTGGGATGGCAGCTGGAGCCTCGGCGGATAAAACCCCCTCTTTGAGCGAGACGCGATGGGGCTGGGTCCCAAAATGCCTCTGCGGTCCCTGGGCTGAGGACTGACCCTGGTGCCCAACTCGTCACATGCGTGGGGAGCCAGGGACCATACGAAGATGGGAAAAAAAAATTAACTCATCGGGTTAATTTGTCCCTAAACTTGGGTTTTGCTGTCTCCTCGGTGATTTATTTTGTTTTAAAATTCTTCGGGTTAAAACAACTTGCTGCCCCGGGAGGGGTTGGGGCTGGGATTGTGGAAGGGGGGTAAAGGCAACAAAGCGGCATGTGAGGGCACGCCCCCGTCATTAGGGTGAGTTAATTAAGGGGGAATTTAATAGGTGGGGTCACAAGGGGAAAGGGCTTGTGTAGCTGGGGGGCAACACTGGGTGGGCAAAGGGTGCTGGGAGCAGGCAAATGTCACTGTGCTTGTGCCAATGTCACCGTGCAAGTGGGTACGGTGCCTTGCACATGCAAATGTCTCTGTGCCAGTGCCACTGAGCACTTGCAGACGCTGCCTGAGCTGAGCAAAAGGTGCCCTGAGTGTGCAAATGTCACCCAGATGCCATGGTGTGCAGTGCCTTGCACACGTGCAGATGTCACCGTGCCTGAATTCCCCTTTCCAGGTACAAAAGGCACGTGTGACTGTCACTGTGGGTGACACGCAGTGAAAATGTGCAGTGCAAACACGTTGCTTGTGCAAATGACCCCTGGCACGTGCAGAGGTGCCCGTGCACGCAGGAAAGCCCCACGGTGCCCCCGAGTTCCTGTGCTTGTGCAGATGGCTGGGAAAACGCTGCCTGCCTCCCCCAAATCCCCAAAAAGCCCCCTGTAAATACCTCCCTCGTTTTTCATTCATTCACCAGTTTTATAATTAAAGCTCCAATTCCTCATTAATCAGGACCCTCCAGAGGGGATGCAGGTGCTGGCCCTGGCAGGGCAGGATTTGGGGGTTCTGACCCAGGCAGGGCAGGATTTGGGGAG